ATACCTCAGAGAGTCGGGCAGGGCGGGTGGTGAGAAAGGTTCGTGGAACTCAGGTGGGCGGAAGATATTTAAGCACCGCGCACCCTCGCTTACGTTGCCGCTTCGGGAGTGCGTGGGTAGATGCGGACGCAAAGGGAAGCGCGCCTTCCTCGCCCGCCTTCACCTGCCGCTCGACCACCTGCCCCAACCCCGCGGCAGCTTTTCTCCACTGCGCAGCCATCTATCTTACTAACACAAGCGCACCGCGAATCCGCTCAACGGCATGCCAGCCAGAAAAAGGCCTTGGTATTGTCAACACAATTCAACGTTGCCAGTAAGCCCCGACATCCTACGCTTTTCGCACATCGCTGACATCGAGCAGATCCCAGAAAAATCCTCGACCGCTCCCTCGCTTCACAAAGCTCCTCAAGACCACTTCAACGAAAAGTCCTTTTCTCTTCGTCTCCAGGAACTCTGCTCGAAGCATCTCTGGCCGGTCCGTAGCACATTCTGACAGGAGTCGTTTTTTGCTTGCCTACCCCAGTCACCAGCACATAGTGCCGAGATTCCGCAGTAGAAACCGGAGACACGCCTTTGCGCCCGGAGAGCAATAGCCAACATTGGGGCGACCGCAAACACCGCGCTCAAAGTCCTGAGATTGCTTTTCGACTTGTCAAGGCTCATTCAATACCCTTGAGGAGCGTTGTGAAGGAGTTCAAGAGCAAGGCATGTCGTCGAAAACAACTTGCAGGGGTCCTGAAAGCGCTAGCCGCGTGTAGAAATTTCTGGGGCTGCGCGACCATGGATCGCCGGCCCGCAAATCCTTCGCCCCCACGCCAACAGTGCCGGTGTGGCGGTGCTCCAGCGTCCAAGCTTCACGTCCCGGCCAATTCCGCTGTCGAAGAAAACACCCGGACCGCAGCAGCCCCTCGCTCGCGAGAAACGTCTGAATTGGAGACGAACACAGGAAGATACGAAGGTCGCCGCGACTCCGGAGCCAGGGAATGGTGTTTCACTGGCGCGTTGCGTTGCCAGCGCGTCCTGAAGCCATTTTGTGGTGGCAAGATCTACGCCGCCTCAAGCAAGACTTTTTCAACGCTTTGGGATGCGGGCGGACTTTTTGGGTCGTTTCTTGGTTGTTCCATCGCAATCGGAAAGACAACCCCTTTTCTTGGGCAGATTCTCCGTATCCAGATCTTTCTTTGGCACAAACGACATCCTTACAAGAAGCAGGTGAAGTTTGGGAAGAGCAGATTGACCATTGGAACACATGGATACCATTCACTTGCACAACAGATGACCATGTTCGCAAATGCTTGCAAATAGGCCGAAAGCTCAGGTGCAATTATGAAAGGCCCAGACCATGTCGAACAAGAGCGCGATCGGAAACGCAAGTAGTGGAACAATGATCCGAAGAGAAGGCCTTTGGCGTGTCGAGTAGCAGGTGTTATGGCGTGGGCGTAAAGAAATGTCGGTGGTTTATGAGATTCAGGAGCCCTAGATTGCCCCGGGTTTCTGGCTTTACGTCTTTCAGCGTCGTCAAATTGGTCTATCACAATCGGAAAGCCAACAGTCATTGCGCAATCACATCGGATTCACGCAAAACAGGGGCATTCGAATGCTCCCTTTGGGCGCGCAGTCTGTCTTTCCGGAGCAATATTTGCGATCTCGAGCGCAGCGGTAAGCCCACTTCACTGCCCAAATTCTGTGTGCTCACACAAATGTCAATACAGGCTCTTGCCAAACAGCCGATGCCTTGGAAACAGGTGAGATCAGATATAAAATGCAGAATCATTCTGTCATTTCGTGACCAAATTTGGTCGCCATTCTCCTGTCCCAAGCACATCTTCAGCCAACGTATAAAGGCGCCTAAGGAACGCACTGTCGCCAATATATACTCTTTGGCCAAAAACCTATTCTAGCTCTTCGTGCTGAGTCTCGTGAGCAGCTCAATGATTCATCAAATCTTGGATGTGTTTCTCTACGCGCTTGGAGTCCCCTTCGCCTCAATCAATTCCTCCATCAAGGGACACGACAAAACCATTCTTTGGAACGAGTTTGGAATAACGCACGGCACTATCGACACAAGCGTGCATAGTCAACTCGTGCAGCTCACGTCAAACTGCCAGTTCGGCAACATGCTCAGGAGAGTAGGTACCATGTCCGTCGACCGAGTGCACAAGCTGAAAGACCACGATGACGCTGGTTTTCACTTCCTCTTCACGAGCACAGTCAACACAGAGCTTCCTGAGTACAACGACGCCGAGCAGAAAATGAAGTATATTTGCACGCTCTCGCCCAAGTGGGGATTTTTGGCTGGCATCATCAAGCAGGTCGTCCTGGATCGGAAGAAGAAGCTGCTCATCTTCGTGAGCAGTCCTATGATCCAACAAATCTTGGATGTGTTCCTCCACGCGCTTGGAATTCCCTTCGCCTCAATCAATTCATCCGTCAAAGCGCACGATAGAACCATTCTTTTCCAGAGATTTGATGACCCTCTGGATGACATCATGATCATGACCGTCAATGTCAATCTGAGCTCCTCCTCTTTCAACGCGCAGCACGGCTGTCATATCTCCGTGCTCTTGGAATTTCCGTCTTGGCCGTCCCCACGTCTCTTTGACCAACTCATTGCTCGCACCTGGAGAATTGGTCAAAAAGAACAACCGCTCTTCGTCCTCGTGACAACCCTCGCAACGTATGACCAAGTATTGCGAGGAAAGTTTGTCCGCAAGGCCATCATCCAGAATGCGATCCTGGCCAATATTCCCTGAAGAGGATGTCAAAAATATATATTTGGATGATTTCATGGCATCTGATGAGGTTCTTCCGTCCTGGCGCCACTACCAGACGACTCTTGCTTGTGCAATCCCGGTTGCATCTGACAATCAAGTCACCAGCAAAAGACCCGTGGAAAACACGACCAGGACGGCAAATGTCCCCGCGCCAGTCAAGCCGTCGGCTTCAGGACCAACCAGCGCGAATCCCATCGTCCCATCCAACACGGTCCGCGTCGATCCGGCCAGTGCCACTCCCGTCGCCCCGACCAAGGCCCCGACAACCACGGCTGCCATCAAGCGTCATTCCGCGCGTAATGGCGAGTCCTGGCTGTGCCGCCTTAACCCGTACACGACTGCAGTCCTGCTGCTGAGCGGACTAGTGGACGCCAGCAAGATTTCGGAAAGGACTTGGGAGAATACCCAGTTCCGTCTCGACGCGCGTTGGCCAGCTCGTCATGGCAAGGACTTGGGCTTCAACCTTGACAAGTGGACTTCCATTCTCATGGACCTGCCGCCCTACACGTACTTCGTGCTGCGCTCGAACACCGGCACGCAGACTTTGAATTTGCCATCAGAATTTAGTCAGTCTTGTCCTGCACCACTGGTAGAGCAGATTGGGAATGCAACGTCACTACTTGGTGCAGCAAACAACACCTTCATATATCCAAGTATACAGATTTCGAAGTGCGAGGCATGATTGGGTGGTCAAGCATCTCGACGTGGTCGACACAGGACTGGATATGGAGAAAGGAAAAAGAGAGGCGAAGAGAGAGAGACGAAGGCCACGGCGAAGAGACTGTGGTCCTACGTGCACCGAAAGACGTGACGGTAAGTCCGTTGTTCCTATCTTCATCCGCAAGCGCGATGTTTGCAGGGGATTAACTTACTCTACTCTAGGAAGCCGTTCCAAATCTGGATTTCATCGAGAAGATCGAGTCAGCTTGTCTCAGCCCTTGGCCATCATCCTGAAATCACCTGATATGCAAGCCAGAGAGGCCTTCGCACTGCCGATGGCACAATTGAAGAAGTTGGTCATCTTTTTGGAGCAGTTTCGACCCGATCTTGTCCAGATGCAGCACCACTTGTCCAAGAGCTGTATGAGAAGCAGTCACAAGTCTGCGAACTGATGGACACGCAATTTTGCAGCCTCATGGAATTTGACGTGGAAGAACTTTTTCAGGAGGGGTTGAGAGGGTATAAGCGTCTTTTATATTAAATTGCACAAATGAGGTTGTCCAAGGTCAGTAATGCTGAGACACACCAATCGCGGCCAAAACTGCATCGTCCTTGCCGGCTCTGCTCTGCTCTGCTCTGCAGCACAATACCACACCTCCTACAACCACCAGTTGTAGACAAAAGGAGCTTTCCTTTTTCTTCTTAAGAGAAACCTCCATATCCAACACCCACCAGCTACAGCAACCTCAGCTTCGAGATTCTTAGAAGTCAGGTATGCTAAATACTCAAAGCGCGATTAGTGCTAAGCCCTCCCAATGATCCCTACTAGCAGCCACATTGGAATGCTAACTGACTCAAGACTAGCAATGCCGCCCAACGGGAACGACCGCATCACGGTTGTCTGGACATGGAGAAAGCCTGGAGATGAGGAGCAGCAAGCTTACGCGCTTGCAGCATGTTGGTTTGCCGCGCAGAAGTCCGACAGCGGCGTCGTGGCCTTCAATATCCGGTACGTACTTGCTTGGAGATGCGTTCAAACAAGACCCTAACTCGCACTTTAGAGGCCTCCCCCCTGACTGGACAACCATCAATAGAAAAAGATTCCCTGACAAGACATATATCAATCTTGGTGTCAAAAGCCGAGAGCATAAGGCGGCTGGGAAATGTCGTGGCGTTCAACATCAAGTAAATGCTCGCACGCGCGCTTGGAAATATTGACAGACGACACGGAAGCTCCAGAGGGAGATCAGCCGTCAGTCATTCGTGAGGGCTGCTGGTTCGTGCTTGGGAAGAGGGGCGGATGCCACAATGCGCCGTTGAGATGAGATTCGTGGTGATTCGGGTGGTCTGTCTTGCCTGTGGCGCATTTGATAGAGCGAGAAGCGACTGCGGATGGAAACCAGTCGCGAGAAATACTGCTTGGAATGGGAGACTGTGAGATGGGTGTTAAAGGACAACATTCGAATTGAGACCACATGAACTCTGGATTTGCCAGCTCATGTTGTCTTTGTACAGGACTGTGTTGTATGTTAGCCGACAAAAAGCGAAAAGTCAAAAAAGAAATTTTTCCGTCGCCGAGAATCGAACTCGGGTCTTTGGATGACAAAGGAACGAGAGTCATACCCTCTACCTGACTAGTGCAAGCTCCTCCACAGCGTGAACCTTATGGTCCAACTGGGCTGTCATACAGCCTGCGTTACGGGCTTGTCATCCGAATGTGCTACCACTGCACCACGACGGATTGTTTGTTAAAAGTAGGACGGCGAATTCGATTTATTACTTCGAGGCTGGATGATTTCTGGATTTTTGCCGCTGGCGCAGTCGAGGTGCCTTCGTTGGAGCTTTCGCCTCGCCACGCCTCTGGCTTGATTGGCTCGCGCCATCGAGTCTCGCACCTCAACCTCGTCGCGACGAGACGTTCGTCAAATCGTCCTCCATCTCCCCTTCTTGAGGGAGCAAAATTGTCAGCACACATGACTACGACTACTCCCTGTGACTCTACACACAAGACTTGGTGAGCTCCAGTGTCAAGTAAAAAACGCGCTTGAATGCTCCTTGGATGTAAACAATGATTTTGACATGGAGACTTTCTACTACTTTACGGCTGCTCCCACTCAGCTGCGTTTTCCTTGATCGAGCTCCCTGTTTCCGCGGAGTCTCAGGCCTCGTCAACTTCCACGTCATGTTTAACAGACCCGAGGACATTGGCGAAGACGACAAGCAGACCCTCCTGCTATGGTCCGACTATGTGCTCCGCACTTGGCTGAAGACGGCTGAGGCAACTTTCTGCCACCGCATCCTGAGATTCGCCCGCCCCTATACACCGCCAACGTTCAAGGACGACACGGCCTACTTCAACTATTGGAAGCGGATGCCAATGACGACGACTCATCCTGGTCTTCAGGACCTTCCAATCAAAGTCACGGTCGAGTCCACGGCCAGACGCTCGTCTCAAAAAGAGCGGGACATTTCTGGCGATTACGATCTGGACGTTGCCGACGTGTGATCGAAATTGCCCTCCAAGTCATTCATCTTCGTGGCGGCACTCGACCGCGTACATGGATATCTGCCTTGGCTTCCTACTCAGAGCCACGGGCTGCTCTTACTACATCACTCGGGCGGTTGCACATTGCGTTTTCCTCCTTTTCAGCTCGTCTTAATGGCAACACTCGGCCCCATACATATCTTCCTTTGCTTTTTATCCAGAGCCACGGACTATTCTCACCACATCACCCAGGCGTACCCACACTGCTTTTTCTTCCCTTTCAGCTCGGACTTCATTCTCTGCATTCATAGTCTTCACACGCTCTCCCTCTCCCTTTTTCTTTATAGTTCTAGGTTTATCACAGCATCCAAAGTCATACCGGGGATCAAACAATTACTTTGCAAAGCCAACTTCTCCTTCTCATATATAGTGACATGTGTGGTGATCTATTCAGTGCCATCCCGCTGGGTTTTATTCGCTTCAAGGCGATACACACGTGCGAGGCCAATGCGACGCCGCGTTGATGCGCCCGCTACAAGCCGAGCACACAGAGGGCAGCAAAAGCAATGATAACTTCGAGGCGGTGTACTCGAATGCTTCTTGTAGTCATGTTCTCACATTTCGTCATTTGATAAGTCAAAAATTGAGATATGTGTATGCAGGGAGTGATCAATACCTTGCTCTCTAAAGACTTGAATGTTTAAGCTTTTAAAGTATATCTACAGGGAGCATTCCAACACCCGCACCGCCCTGTAGTTGCCATTTCTTTTGCAACCCACTGTGAGCATTTGGTTCATGCCTGACGCGAACTTGGCTGTCCACTCTCCTTTGTGCGCGTCGCGATTTTCTCTCGGTTGTAGGTCTTTGATCCGTCGCGAACCTCCTCGAACCTCTCGTCGCCTTCCCAACACTGCCACGCAACTCGCACCCATGGCTCATTGACAAGGCCCGATCGACACTGTTGACCCCCGGGAGCGCCTCACACGGACAAAGTAAACGACTCGCACGAAGCTAACGCCCTTCGACGACGCAAATTCGCACTTGGTACCGCCCTCGACATTTGCGGCTACCTGACAAGGCTCGATCGACACTCTCGACCCCCGCGAGCGCCTCACACGGACAAAGTAAAGGATTCACAAACCACACCAACACCTTTCACATCACCCTTCACATCGCCTTCCCATCGCTTTCAAACCACTCCCACACCGACCTTCTTCCTCCGTCTCTCACCACCACTCTCATCATCGTCCTCCATCCACCCGTCACCGCTCCAACCAGAACCTCTCGCACCATGGCAGGCACTCCACCCGTGACGCCCCGCAGACCCAGGTAGACAATCTCATGATCTAGAACCCGAGATTCATGTTGCTGATGTTTGAAGCAGGCCCACCTCACTGAGCCTCGACGACCTCGTGTTCTCGCCTGGCACCAAGCGCAAACGCACCGTTTTCGACGTCGACAAGGAAATCGCCGACACGCCCATCAACAAGGAATCCGGTCGCACAGAGGTGGTTTTCGTAAAGGACACGAACTACCTCGATTCCCTCAAGAGCGACGAGGACCGGACGGAGTTGGAGCGCGCATTCCAGGCGTCTCACAAAGCACACGAGGTCCCGAAGAAGATCACTGAACTCAGAGCAATGATCTTCTTCGTCTATCACCGCATTGATGGCGCTGACATCAAGAGTCTTGTGAACGTGCCAGAAAATACGTTCAATTTCCTGTGGCTCCACAAAAAACACAAGGACGCGGCGGGCAAGATGCAATGCGACATTCTGGCATGGGTCAAGGATCGGGTCGAGGCAATCTACAAGCGGAACAAGAACAAGGTCCAAAACCCCATCGACCTGGCCGAGATCACGAGTGAGGAACGCGTACAGAAGTTCATCGCGTTCTTCCGCAAGAACCCTGTTGGGATTGCCATCGGGATGTTCAGCCCCACAATCTCAAGCATCATCAACTTCAACGCCATCTACAGGACGCCAGATCACATTGGAGGAGCAGAGTTGGCGGCACTCGTTCGCTGGAGGACTGTGATCTACCAGACGTTCGTGAAGACAGCAGAGGCCGTCTTCCAGCACTACTTTCTACCCATACTTAAACCCGAAGCGGTTACAGAGTACAAGGATGGGGACAGCCTGTAAAAGTACTGGAAGCGCATGCCGGATGAGATTCCTCATCCAGAGCTTCGGTACGTCCCTATCAAGTCAATCGCTCAATGATCGCCGCTGGAATTGGCTTTGGAAAGCGCGGGGAGCAAAGTCCGAGTAGCAAATTCAAATTTGAAGCATTCTTACCAAACAATTCCAGCCTCTCGCCTTCGTGATGACTCCCCGTCCAATTCGACCGGTGGTGGACTACAGATGATTTGTTTTCCCAGCTTATCTGCTTCAATCGAGGCGCAGTGTCCATGTCGCAAATGAAGTGTCCATTTCAAGCGCCCATGCCGAAGTCAATCGCCACGAAGTCGAGACGTGTGTACATTGGGAGCATTCAAATGCCCTTACATCCAGAAACCTCAAAGACCGAAGTTTGCGACATGATAGCCACAGGGAGCATTCAAGCACCCGTGTTCTGCCTCGAGATTCTCATTTCTTTTGCAGTCACGCGGAGTATAAGACAAGAACACATTGTGAACTGGTGTTCATGGAGTAATTAAAGCAGTAGCTTTCCTTGGGACCTTTGCAGCAGCACTTTTTCCTTCCTTACCTGCTGTTGGCTGAGACATCAATCTTTCCCGTTTCTCTGATCAATGTTCATTCTCAATCCTTGGCTACTCAGCAGGAAGTTCAATCACTCTGGACGAGCTTTTGCAGCCGCTTTCTTCGAAGTGTACGTCGCTCCCGATCCAATTTCGCACCTGCGTTCAAAAGAAAACGAATCTGTTGACTCTTGACCAAAAGATGCTACAGCTTGTGCTCTTCCTGGAGGAGGAAGATGTCCAAAATCTCGTTCCACACGCGTTCCGGCCGTTTCCACAAGTCCAAGACCACAGCTTGCCGGCGAGGGCCGCGCCTATAGACGCAAGCCCAGTCGAGCTGACCAAATCCGTCCGTTCCGCAACTTCAAACTTCTGAGAGGGTAGCTTGCTGGGGAGCGTTGCGTCTATAGACGTAAGCTCAGGTGGGCGCAAGACGAGCGTTGTGCAAGTATTTGCTGGCCAAATGGTGGATTGCGTCCGGCCAACCACACAATTGAAATAATAAAGGACATCTTCAAACGTCTGGTGCTGTGGCTGGCTGGAGAGCACTACGTCTATATGAGTGCTGCATCAATCCATACAAGACGAGGGTTGCACTGATGATTGGTGATGTCTGATGCTGTAGTACATGCGAAGCCATCGTGACCCGCCAAATGCCCCAAAGTCGATGACTTTGAGAAGATTTTGCAACTCCGCCACTTTATTCCTAAAAGAAGGCAATCGGGTAAATGTTGCACTGTCTCGCGCCCGACATGGTCTCATCATTGTCTTGAACACCACCGCCATCCAGAAGAACGGGTGGGAGTTTCGGCGCACGGCGCTCCTTGAGATCAAGGAGCTTTTTGCGAGTATGAACAAGTCGGTTGTCCATGTCACCAAACGTGATATGAGGCGGTTCGCTGGACTCGATGGCTTGGATGTCATGGCTTCAGACATGGCTGGAATTCCGCGGTCGTCACTCTGATTCTGGCATGGGAAGCAGGCGCGCTCCAAGACTTTGCGTTGGCTGGAGAGGTAGGGACTAGGTGCGGCAACACAATCACGCGCTTGTAAAATCAGAAAGACGTTTAATGCTAGAATACTACTGGGCGTCGGGAAGGAAGCATTCAATGGAATACGTCTGGGAAGCTCAAAGGTCTGTAAGCAGAGAGTGCTGAGGAGTAGCGAAACCCTTTTTCAATCATTTATATGCAGTCTTTATGTTCTCCATCTTCGTGCTGTGTACCACTCCCCGTGCCCTGTCGCACTTGAATTCAATCAAGGCAATCAGCAGGCTCTTGCCCTGATGATGCTACAACTGCTGCACTGCTGTACTGCTGCCCTGCCTGTGATACGAAGCTCCTCAAGTCACATCTGTTCCCTCATCGTTCATACCTCGTCCTGACTCTGTGCGGTAGTCATTCCCAAGAATCAGGAACGCACGCAGAACATTCTGGCAACGTTCCCAGGAACGTTCTGAGAACGGGAGTCTATGGATCAGTCACCTGGCAAAAGTGCCACTGCTGTCTTCAATCGATGCTCTACCGACCTCATCTGAGGAACTGCTGGCGACACA